ATCAACACGCAAGCTAAAGGCAGTGTTATACTTACACTGAAGTCTACAATTACCAAAATTGAGATGCAGATTGAAGCTCTGGTGATACCATTTATCATTTCTCAGACACCTGCGGTGAAGATGGACATGCGACAGTGGTCCTACTTAAAGGAACTGGACTTGACGGATATTTGGTTTGGTGCTCCTGGAACTATTGACGTTCTTATTGGTGCGGATGTGTGGGGACAAGTAGTGGAGAGTGACATTATCGGCGGACGACCTGATGAACCCTTCGCCCAGCGTACCCGCTTTGGCTAGGTAGTATTTGGCCCAGCAACTGTTTCCTCTACATCGAATGGGTCATCATCGCTCGCACTCAGCGCGTTGCTAGGTGAGGATGAAGTGCGGTTGGAAAAACTGGTTCGGAATCTTTGGAGAATGGATGGCGATTCAATTGATTATGAATCTCATGATGAAGAGTGTGGTCACATCTTTGACTCCACACATCGTCGTACCCTGGACGGACGCTACGCCGAGCATCTACCACTGCGGCGGGACGCGCCGGTACTAGGCGACTCTTATTCACTTGCGTTGCGGCAGTTCACTCGACTGGAACCCCGCCTGCTTGCTAACCCTACTNCGCCGGTACTAGGCGACTCTTATTCACTTGCGTTGCGGCAGTTCACTCGACTGGAACGCCGCCTGCTTGCTGACCCTACACTACAGGAAAACTATGTGAAGTTTATGCGTGAGTATGCTGCGCTGGGGCATATGGAGCCTGTGCAAGCACCATATTCTCATGACGGGTGCTACTACATCCCTCATCCTGCGGTTGTTGGAAAGTTTCGAGTCGTGTTCAACGCGTCAGCGCCAACGAGTACTGGCGTTTCCCTCAACGACATTCAGTTGGTGGGCCCGACCATTCAGAACTCACTTGTAAACATACTGTTACGATTTCGCAGATACCGAGTGGCGATTACCGCTGACATTGAGANGTTGTTGGAAAGTTTCGAGTCGTGTTCAACGCGTCAGCGCAAACGAGTACTGGCGTTTCCCTCAATGACATTCAGCTGGTGGGCCCAACCATTCAGGACTCACTTGTAAACATACTGTTACGATTTCGCAGATACCGAGTGGCGATTACCGCTGACATTGAGAAGATGTTTGGGCAGGTGCTGGTTACCTCCGAACATCAGGATCTCCAGAGGATCATATGGCGAGAGTCACCGGCAGACAATATCGGTGTTTATCGTTTGAAGACAGTCACTTATGGGATGGCGAGCAGCCCTTACAACGCCGTACGTGCCCTTCAACAGTGTGCGGTCGACAACTGCAGTGTAAGTCGAGACGAGGATCAGGCGGCTCTTGCTCGAGATGCAATCTTGACGTCGTTCTATGTTGATGACTTTTTGACAAGCTGTGCGAATGCCAGTGAAGGAATAGAACTGGCGAGGAGTGTAGATGCTATTCTATCTGCGGGAAAGTTTAGGCTGAGCAAATGGAACTCAAACGATAATCAGGTAACGATGTGTTTGTCGAGTAACGCCTCTATTTCCAGTTATACATTCAACTCCGGCGAGACTTCGGTCCTGGGCCTTAAATGGGATTCGGTGACTGATGAGTTGTTCTATCGCGTTGAGATTGAGCCGACAATAGATGTTCCTACCAAGAGAAGCGTGCTTAGGGAAGTCACTCGACTCTTCGATCCTACTGGTTTGCTATCCCCCGTAGTAATAACGGGGAAGGTTTTCATTCAGAAGATGTGGTCTGTGGGGTTGTCTTGGGACACTCCATTACCCGACGACCTTCGTGAGGAATGGCTGAGGTATCGTTCCAAGCTTAAGGCTCTGAATCAAGTTCGAATCGAGCGGTGGTTGGGTATGGTGCGACATGGCCGGACCACGTTACATGGGTTCTGCGATGCCAGCTCATATGCATACGCGGCCATGATCTACATTAGGACAATAGACGATTCCCACGCAAAGCAGCTCTCGCTCCTTACTGCACGCAGGAAAGTGGCTCCATTCAAAGGCTCAACCATACCATGACTTGAACTCTCGGCAGCAGTGTTGTTAGCGGAAACCCTCCGGCATGTGCAATCGGCCCTGAGCTTGTCCGAAGCTCCATACTTTCTGTGGTCGGACTCTGCAATTGTATTATGCTGGGTTAAGAAGCAACCATCAACCTTGAAACCATTTATATCAAACCGTGTTCGCAGGATCCCAGAGTTGACATCTCCAGATCGATGGCGTCACATTCGTTCGGCGCAGAATCCCGCTGACTGTGCTAGCAGGGGCATAACACCGCAAGAGCTGCTACATCACCCACTTTGGTGGCATGGATCCGGTGAGCTAGATAGCTCCGCGCTATATACTACGGACATACCCCTCAGCCCGGACGAGTCACAGGTACTTCACGCTGAGGAGCGAACTGTATCGTGCCTGGTCGGAGTGCATCTGGTCCGACCATTGGAAACGCGCAGGCCAGATGGCCATGCCATCTCGTTGACTGAACGCTTCAGTTCCATGCAGCCGTTACTAAGGACGGTGGCCGTCCTGCTACGATGGTTGCCGAGACGTCGACACTTTCGTCAACCTGTTGTAAGTGCACGGGATCCCGCGGGAGTTAGATGATGCACTTGACGTTTTGATCCGGTTGGAGCAAGCAAGTAATTTCGCGTCCGAAATTAAGAAGCTAAAGGCCCGCTCAGGTTTGTCATCTTCAAGTAAGATTCTCTCATTAAATCCCTTCTTAGATGAGCACCGGATCCTCCGTGTTGGAGGTCGACTCCACAAGGCGGAAGTGGAGCACGATCAGCGATTCCCGATGATCTTGCCGAGATCCAGTCCTCTCGTGCACCTCTTAATCCGACAAGCTCATGAAAAAACGCTACATGGAGGAGCACAGCTGACGCTGCATACACTTCGTCGCCGTTTTTTGGATTTTAAACGCAAGACAAGCTGTCAAGTCGTTTGTACACCACCACTCAAGCAGCAAATGGCTTCGTTACCCGGGCAGCGAGTTAAACCTGCAAGACCATTTGTATCCGCTGGGGCGGATTATTGTGGTCCTTTCACTCTACGTTTTGGCACAAAACGCTCTCGCACTCTCGTGAAGACATACTTGGCTATTTTTGTATGCATGGCGACTAGAGCCGTTCACATGGAGGTGGTGGATGTTCTGTCTGCGCAAGCCTTCCTCGACGCTTTTACACGCTTTACCAGTCGGCGGAGTCCTTGCCGCGACTTATACAGCGATAACGGCACGGCATTTGTGGGTGCGAATCGACTGCTCCAGGAAGACTTGGCGGCATGGAACAATGAGAACAATCAACGATCGTTAGCGAGCGTGGGCACCCAGTGGCATTTCATCACTCTTAGTGCACCACACCAGGGTGCACCCAATTGCAGACCCTGGCCGCGCGTATAGAAGCATATCTCAATTCTCGTCCGATCACTCCACTGAACGATGACCCAGACCCAATGCGAACAATCAACGATCATTAGCGAGCATGGGCACCCAGTGGCATTTCATATCTCCTAGTGCACCACACCAGGGTACACCCAATTGCAGACCCTGGCCGCGCGTATAGAAGCATATCTCAATTCTCGTCCGATCACTCCACTGTACGATGACCCAGACGAGAAGTTTGCATTGACACCAGGGGACTTTCTCATCGGAGCACCGCTTTTAGCTGTGCCAGAGCCAGACATACGCGAGATTCCCACCAATCGCTTGAAGCAGTGGCAGTGGGTACGACAAGTCCACCAGAAGTTTTGGCAGCGTTGGAGCTCCGAGTATTTGATCACGCTCCAGAGGCGCAATAAGTGGCAGCGACGCGTTACGGATATCCGAGTCAATNTGATCACGCTCCAGAGGCGCAATAAGTGGCAGCGACGCGTCACGGATATCCGAGTCAACGATGTGGTGTTGGTGCGGCATGAGAATCTACCACCAACCCAGTGGCGTCTTGGTCGTGTGGTGGCAGTGCATCACGGAGACGACGGAGCCGTCCGAAATGTCACTTTGAAGACTGCGAGTGGATGCATCACTCGAGCTGTTCAAAAGCTATGCTGCCTGCTTGAACAAGATGATTTCGAGTCAGCCGACTCGACCCGGCAGGATGTTTAGAGTTAAGTGTGAACTCATTGTAATGCTTTCTTAACTACCAAACTTGTACTCTATGGCTACCCTAGCTTATCGATAACTATGTATCTACTTTGACATTTCTATTGTTTGCCAAGAATCCATTTGCATTAGTACGGTTCTTTTGTAATATTCATTTTGCTATATAAGCGCGAAACCATCTTGTATACCTCCATCTTTTGCGACCATATCTGCAGCAATAAACGTGCGATTTCTAGAGGACATCGTTGGAGTCTTTTATTTAACACAAGTAATTTTTAAGCAAACAAAACACCGACTCCAATTCTCATATAAAAGTGTAATAGTACCGTTAACTTTTTCATGATCCAATGATCGAATCTAAACCAAATTTATACGGGATCACCTGGAAATCGGTTGACGTGGTCCAAAGTTATGCGGTAACAT